GCAGGAGGATTGGCTTATTCACCAAGTTTGCAGGTGAAGTAAAAAAGACGGAAGGCTTAAATCTAATTAGAAGAGGGTTATGAACATGTGAGCATGTTCATAGGTAAAGAGTATAAATCAATCCAGCAGGGAGACGAACAGAATGGATAACTGATAGAACAACACATTGTTCTAGGCAGGAAAGTACTCAATAGAAATATGCAGACATTTGAACCTTGGCATTCCTAAAAGGGAGAGTTCTCCTCTGAGGAGGTTAGAGTGAAGGAGGAAAGGCAAAAATACAAAGACACTCTTAGGAGAGCAGGGAAGTAGAGAGACCACGTGCCAGGTGGTCTTGATCATTTCAGTGAAGTCAATGAGATCATCTGTTCTGTTAAAATTTATGATTCCAGGGAGGGTTGGGGACTTCAAGATGTTAAAGAAGGTTTGGATCGGTTGTTATAGCGAGTGAATAATATAGAATCCAAAGTGCAGTTTGAATCACTTGCCTTTCTAATGAAACCAGTAAATCGAGAGACTTATCCCCATCCCCCCAGCCATGCACTTCTGTACAGACAGGAGTGAAGGAAACGGGTAATGAGGATTTCATGGAGCTAGAATTAGGGGAAATGAGAGTGTACCCTGCAGGAAGCAGTGCAGTGCAAGAACCTTCTCAAACTTCTAATAAATTTTAATAAGAAATTGTAAACTGGGATGAAAGAAAAGTGGAATCAGATGGGCATGACGGATTACCACAGCATGGAGACATCAAAGGCCTAAGGATCCCAATAAAGACACAAATGAGACTCTGTGTGCATTGTGGAGGAACATGCGGTACTTAGGTTGCAGCCCTGCTCCCTGCTCAGAATCCCAAAACTCAAAAGAGAAACGGTTTAAGGGATGACACAATGGGGGTGTGGACATGACAATAAATGGGTGTACTGGTGTGGACATGGAGGTCATTGGAGTTCAATAGCTTTAAGACGTGTGAGGCCGCAGTGTGAGTGATGACAGCCAAAAGGAGAGAATGAGGTTGTGAACCAGGTGACTAAACCCCTGTGAGAGAAACTTCATCAGCGCTCACCATACCAAACAAAAATGGAGGAGGTTAGTGATTTAATGATCAAGTTAGCTATTTATTTCCATTTAGGTGGGGGCTATTTACTGGAGAATTATTAACCATGTGCTCTGTCAGTTTTGGGCTGTGTTCATGGGTTTCATACAAACTCAGGTATACTTAATGTGTTTTATGGAAACAGGATCACACATGGAAGCATAATGACTGCTAGTCCAATTTGGACTAGAGTTGTTTTCATACCTTGGGGCCTCACTTTTAATATTTTTTTTTTTAAGATTTTTTGTTTATTTATTTGAGAGAGAGAATGAGATAGAGAGAGAGAGCATGAGAAGGGGGAGGGTCAGAGGGAGAAGCAGACTCCCTGCCGAGCAGGGAGCCCGATGCGGGACTCGATCCCGGGACTCCAGGATCATGACCTGAGCCGAAGACAGTCGCTTAACCGACTGAGCCACCCAGGAGCCGGGGCCTCACTTTTAGATGAATGTTATACCATCAAACAAATCCAATATAGAGCCGACAAGATGGCAGAGAAAACTCAAAACCATTATTGTATTGGAGATATATTTTTCTAAGAAAGAAAAGAATCAAAGGGGCTACATTTCTTGAGTTTAGTCTTTTATGTATAAGAGAAATTAAATTTAGTAATTGTGATTCTGGAGGCTGGAACTAGTATAAATGGATGGAAGTTATTGAAAAGCAAATTTTGGCTTAATGAAAGTCATTTGAATTTCAGTCAGTTAATGACAGACCCTGGGTGGAAATTGCTTCTTCTTGAAGTAATGAGTCCACATTATGGAAAGTGATCTCAATAGACTAGACAACTCTTGCATATATTGAGGTCCACAGAAGAGCATAATTGATCTGGTCTGAAGCTTGTTAGAAATGCAGACTCTCAGGCCTCACCCAAACCTGCGTTTTAACACTATTCCTTTTAACAGCATCCCTAGGTGATTGCCTGTGTACATTAGAGCATTGGTCTAGAGGACTTTCCTGCACTGGGGAGACAGCTGGTCTATAGAAGCTAGAGTCCCTTCCTGTTCTAGGACTTTTGTCATATATTTTGATTCCAAAAGTAATTCTCGCCTTCCTTGACTTATCTCTATCTTTAAGAATTTCAAGCCCTATACAAAAAAGCTTACTGGACTCTGATTCTTCCAAGTGTAATTTGGTAAGATTATTTTTATATGGCATCACACCAAAGTTCTTGTACCTGGTAAGAACTTCAAAATGCTACTTTTTGAAAATAAAAATTCTTGGTGCCTCATGAAAGCTATAGCTGAAATTTTGTTTTGACAATACTCCGAAAACAATAAAAATATCTGAACACCCCTATGTCATTCTGCTTCTTTTCTGCTTATTCAGTGATTAGTCCTGGGGTGTCCTGTGGGTTTTTTCTTTACTGAGGATTCACTGTAACTGGCTAGTGAAATACTGCTTGGGATGAGTGATAGAAAAATTGTTATAATCTTGCTTGTGTCTTGCTCTTACTTTGGCCCCTCCATTTGGGAAACAATTTCAATGTGTCTTATTTTTATTACTGAGCTTTATCTACTGTTGTGGAATTTTCCTTCTCAGACAACTCAAGCCTTGTTTCACTTTTAAACACCTGCTAAAAGTAACAGACAGCGAATCATTTATCAACAGAGAGAATAAATTGATAAACTGTGGTAGTAATTATTTTTATTCTTATTCTTTGTTCAGAAAGCACATTCCTTGAGTTTTTTTCCTCTCTGAATGGAAAGAATTTTTAATTAGCATAAATATGATACAGCTCCCATAAAAATGAATAGGGCTTTGAGCTTACAAATCTCTTTCATGCCCTGATATTGTTTTGTGTGTGCACAATAACTAGACTTTACAAAAAATTTCTATGGTCAGCAATGGTACATCATAATTTACAATGTCTCCATTCTGAAGGAAGTTTTATTACTACTTAGAAAAGTAGCTGATTTATGGCAAGTGGCAACAAGCAAGAAATCACGGTTTTCATAGTGGAAAAAACAATAGTAGAGTTTATTGTAAAGTTTCTCTCCTTTTAAATTGGGGAAAAAATCGCTATTTGTGATGAATAATATGCTTGGCAACCTAACTGAAACCTTGTTATGTCAAATTATCTTTTGTTTAATGTCCATCACATTATGGACAAAAACAATTTTTAAAAATTGTTGAAGTGTGGTTCTCCTTGTTTCATAAATATTTAATAATATTTTTATATGTGAGGCCCAAATATGACAGCAAGGCTTTTGTGTATTTAAAACCCTCAAGCCCTGCTAATTTTTTTTTTTAATTTACCATTCACTTCCTTTGTCTTTTTCTTACTGTTCCCACTGACACATCTCTACATTTTTATATTTTTCTCTTTTAAAATAAGTCTATCCTCCACTTGAAACTATGAGAAAATGTCAACATAAAGCTCTCAAAGGTATGGAAAGATACTTTCCAATTTTTGAAAAAAAAAAAAAACAGTTTTAAAAACTTGCTGCTTTAACTGACTTTAATTTGTGCTCTTGACAATTTAAGACATTTTATTTGTTTATAAATTCTATTTTCTCTAGAGTGAAACATCTTTTTGTGATCTTTTCTTATTCAACTCTTAGGATTTGCAATAGGGCCCTCTTCTTCCACTAATCTGTTTTTCTAGATGTATTTCCCTTTCTTCCTGTTTTCTTCGGTTCTTTGCCCTCCTGTTTCCTGGGGCTGCTGACGCTCTATCCACCTGTTGGCTTACTTCACCTTGATGTCCTTCTTGACAGAATCCCCCTTTCCTTAAATGTCCCTCTTTCATAGCATATTTATCTTTCAAGACCTGTGTCCAATATATGTTATTTTCCTGTTTTAATGGTATTTCAGCTGGAGATTCTGTTTCCCTGTTCTCAGAGTTTATGATGCTCTTCTTCCCTAGAAAGCCCTCAAAACTTGAAGATTTGGCTGATTCTCTCCAACATTCCATGGCTATGTGTCTGTTCATTCACTCATCAATTCAAGACTTTCTTCTGTATTTATTAATGTATCCATTAAGGTATTTTATGAGTGTGAGAGGTTTGTGGAAGCCACTTTCTAGAAGAGAAGAAAAGCTCTTGTGCCATTAATCCCTGTAAAGTGTGATGAAAGTTATAGTAGGTGACACATGCGCAATCCTGCCCAGTGGCTCTGGCAAATGAAACACCATAGAAACATATTTATCTGCAATTGATAGACTGTGTCACATTATCATTTCAAGCCATGCACACAAAAAATATGTGCGGCTGGCCTATTAGTATTTTTCTCTTATTAGTAGTAGTGCTTTCCCTTTGTGAGAGAAGGACGTAAGAGGACGGAAACCACATCACAATGCAACATGGCAAAAGGACATTAAAATAAATACCAGGTATTCTTCACTTGTCCTGTCCTACTTGTATCTAATTCCCTCAGAGTTCTAGAAACACCAAGAATGAGAAAGTGGCTACGATCAAAGTAAAACAAAAAAAGAAAGTTTTGATTCGGCTTACTTAGCAAGGCTCCTCTCTCCCAAGAGATGAAAGATGGGAATGCCTCAATTCATGGCAGAATTGCCAAAAGCAAGTTATAATATTGACATGTCCCTCTATCATGCTAGGACTTATCAATTACTGCCCTAAAATAGAAGACTCTAAAATGCATTTGGTATTGTCAATAATGTAATTTTACCTCATTAACAGCTGCCACAATATCTTAACACTCTTGTGTTTTTCAACGACAAGGGGTATAGTCATAAAAACATTACCTTTTATTGAGTTCTGCTCTGTATCTCCAATCTTTCATTCCTGTCTCAATTTCATACCAACTCTGAAAAGTAGGCATTCTTGTCACCATTTCATAGCTAAGTAAGTGAAGAAATAGAAAGGTTATGAAATATACCCAAGGCTACATGGTTAGAAAGTGACAGACATGAATTAGGAAACCAGGAATGTCTAATTCCAATCACAAACATGGCTCTTCCCTGTACACCACACAGACTGTCATAAGAAAATATAACACTTAATGTCCGTGAGCCGCACGAGCTAATCCCATAGGAGAACTGGATCTCTAGATTTGGAACTACAGGTTAAGTTCAGTTTGTAAGTATAATGTAAGAGATTGGCACTTATGGAAGCTTTGTAAGAGCTTGAAAAATACTTCTTTGGTACGTTTTTCCAAAATTTCTTACTCAACAAAGTAAATGATATTTGATTTTTCCTAATCAAGCTCCTAAGGCTTGTCTATAAAAGAAGGTATTCCTATTGATCTGTTCTACAGGTCTATAATGCAGGAGGTGGCTAGGATCTAGTATGATCTTGTTTTCCTTTAGTTCCAGTATAGCCATGTTCCTTATCACAAGTTTAAACAAATTTGTTAATTTTTGCCTCTTGGGTGATTGGATTTCCACTGACAAAAGGTAGAATTCATGTTATGACTATAATATTGACTTACAATAACTTGAGCAGATATATCCTTTGTATTAGTTTATAGTGTACCTGTCAAGTTCATTTATTTTATTTCTAAGTGAAGGGTTCTTCTTGGTTGCATATCTGCCAAATTTTGAACTCTGTACTTAAATTAAAAAGGAGTAAAATTTTTTTAAAAAATGACTTGATTGTCATTCTCATCATTGGAAGGCATAAAAAAGTGTAGTGGGAATCACTTTGGTGTTATTCCAACCAGGAAAGTCAGAGGATTATAATAATGAAAAAAGTGAAAGTAAACAATAGGTAGTCAAGCCAAGAAGACAAGGTAAGAGTTATGGAACCCACAGTAACCAGGGAAATCGGGGAAAAAAATAGGTAAGTTAGCCAGAGTGGCCCATAAGTAGGACCCGAATTATGGATAAAGCTAAGCCCCCTCTGGAGATCTCCTATAAATTTCTTGTTTAGAAAATTTAGTCTCATGGTGAGAACAAGATGAGAATAAGTAGGGATAGGGATAGGGACTGCCTATGGAAATACAAAAACTATGTTCCAATGTCACAGATCCCAAACAGGGGCCTTTGGGATCTTATGGGAATATTTGTAATATAGTCAAAGTATATCACCATGGCCAGAGTTTTATTTTCCTACAGGAATATAAGTGAAATGCTAAATTATAAACAGATAGTTGATTGAATATAATGGTAAATAGGACAGAAAAGTGCCTGACCTTATTCTTTTAATATGATAAAACTGACAATGGATAAGTATATCATTACATAAACAAGACAATTTTAGATTGTTATGAGGGCTATAATGAAATAAATTGGAGGGGATATGATAGTCAATGGGGAGAGGAGATTTGCCATTTTAATTTGTTTTTCTCTATATCAGCCTTCTCTAAAGAAGCCATTTACCTAAGACCTAAAATATGAGAATGGGCCAACCCTATCACCAAGGAAGACCACCATGGTAGAGTAAAGATCCCAAACCCTCATCCATGTTGATGCGAAAGTTGGGTATTCATCTTTTCTGATGGCTGAGTAATATTCCATTGTATATATGGACCACATCTTCTTTATCCATTCATCTGTTGAAGGGCATCTCGGCTCTTTCCACAGTTTGGCTAATTGCAGACATTGCTGCTATGAACATTGGGGTGCATATGGCCCTTCTTTTCACTACATCTGTGTCTTTGGGGTAACTACCCAGTAGTGCAATTGCTGCGTCATGGGGTAACTCTATTTTTAATTTTTTGAGGAACCTCTACACTGTTTTCTAAAGTGGCTGTACCAACTTGTATTCCCACCAACAGTGTAAAAGGGTTCCCCTTTCTCCACAACCTCTCCAACATTTGTTGTTTCTTGCCTCATCCATTTTTGCCATTCTAACTGGTGTAAGGTGGTATCTCAGTGTGGTTTTAATTTGAATTTCCCTGATGGCTAATGATGATGCACATTTTTTCATGTGTCTGTTGGCCATTTGTATGTCTTCTTTGGAGAAGTGTCTGTTCACATCTTCTGCCCATTTTTTGACTTGATTATTTGTTTTTTGGGTGTTGAGTTTGAGAAGTTCCTTATAGATCTTGGATATCAGCCCTTTGTCTGTAGTGTCATTTGCAAAAATCTTCTCCCATTCCGTGGTTTGCCTCTTAGTTTTGTTGACTATTTCCTTTGCTGTGCAAAAGCTTTTTATCTTGATGAACTTCCAAAAGTTCATTTTCGCTTTTGTTTCCCTTGCTTTTGGGGACGTGTCTTGAAAGAAGTTGCTGTGGCCAATGTCAAAGAGGTTACTGCCTGTGTTCTCCTCCAGGATTTTGATGAATTCCTGTCTCACAGTGAGGTCTTTCATCCACTTTGAGTTTATCTTTGTGTATGGTGTTAGAGAATGGTCGAGTTTCATTCTTCTGTATATAGCTGTCCAATTTTCCCAGCACTATTTATTGAAGAGACTGTCTTTTTCCATTGCATATTTTTGTTGAAAATTATTTGACCATAGAGTTGAGGGTTCATATCTGGGCTCTCTATTCTGTTCCATTGGTCTGTATGTCTGTTTTTGTGCCAGTACCATGCTGTCTTGGTGATCACGGCTTTGTAACACAGCTTGAAATCGGGCAACATGATGCCCCCAGCTTTGTTTGGAGGAGATTATGCTAAGTGAAGTAAGTCAAGCAGAGAAAGTCAATTATCATATGGTTTCACTTATTTGTGGAACATAAGGAATAGCATGGAGGACATTAGGAGAAGGAAGGCAAAAATGAAGGGGGAGAGGAACCAGGAGAGACTATGGGCTCTGAGAAACAAACTGAAGGTTTTAGAGCGAAGGGGGTTGGAGGGATGGGTTATCCCCAGTGATGAGTATTAAGGAGGGCCTGTATTGCATGGAGCACTGGGTGTTATATGCAAACAATGAATCATGGAACACTTCATCTAAAACTAATGATGTAATGTATGGGGATTAACATAAGAATAAAAATAATAAATATAAAAAAAACCCTAAAAAAACCCAAAACAAATGATGTACTGTATGGTGACTAACATAACATAATAAAATAAAATAAAAACCCTTCATCCATAGGTGTTGATGCCAGATTGTCACTTTCAGAGTTTTAAGAGAACATTTCTGTCACTTCTAATGGTGAGTAGAAAAAAATATAATTTTATCCTCTTTCCTACCATCACAAACATCACCACCACCACCAATCACAACATGAATGAAGTAATAATCTTTAGTCTAGGCCAAAGAAAATTGACTGCCCAGAGTGTGACTAGGATGGGTGCACCAAAGTTGAAAAGCTACTAAAGTAGTTACTTTTTTCCCCCTATTTTAGAGCAAGTCACAAGGTTTCTAATAGTGATAACTATCTGTTATTTTGTCTGTGATTTATGTATGGCTTTTAGTTTGGTTCTATATAAAAATTTTTTGGTCTAAGTTAGTCTAAAGTTACTTGAAAGTAAACTTTTGAGTATCATTTTTAAAATATTAACTATAAAACACATATGATACATAGTCAAAAATTCTTGAACAGATAGGGCAAAGAAATACTCAAGGAAATGTTGGATTTTTTAAATAAAATTATCTGCAATTTGAGGAATATGAAGAGTGTTGAAAGGAAAAATTGCTAGGAATGTCCATTCATTATATTACTTGTCACTACTCATAGACTTGCAATCTGGTATTGGAAGAATTTTCTGAGAAATGAATAAGATATTTAAAATCCTGTATTAGTGAATTATTAACATTGAAAGGGAGATTAAAATCTTGGAATCTGATATTGATGACTTTATCATCTAAAGGAAAACTTATGCCAGGAGTATGATACTTCTTCATTAGGATTTTAGAACATATTTTTCCCTTCGAAATTTTCCTTTCTTTTTTTCTTCCTCTAGAAAATATGCTTCTAAAACACCTCTCGACTTTGCATTTAATGAACAGTTAAAGCTGCTTTATCTTGTCTCTCTGTCAGTCCAAAATTCAACTTGATTTATAACCTAATACCTTACCAAACATTAGAAATATTAAACCTATAGAGTAATGTGTCATATGTTCTTTATTAAATAAAGTTCCTTAGTTAGTGAACTGTTTGTCATATTTCATGGCACTTTACTGATATATTAAATTACTGGTGTGTTTCATCAGAAAGAACTCAGAATTCAGTCAATAGATTTGGTGTATAATCCCAGTTTGCTTGATTAATTTATCTAACTAAAGCAGGTTTTGAAATTCTTATGTAAAAATGAGGAGATTGCATTAGATGACTATGATCCATCTGACTTTTAAAGCCTCTGATTCTGAAATCATATGAGGATGATAAACAAAAATTCAGGGAATTTGCTTGGGTGTGGTTGAATAACATTAGATTTGGCATCTCCCTGCAGTACATCAGAGTGTTTTATTTTCATTAACATCTTTAATAGGGAAAACACAATTTATTTGTAAACATAAACATTACTAATAAATGATACTTTAAAAGTAATGGCATAAACACTGTAAAATTAGCAAAAGAACTTTAAATTAGGAGAAATAAAGTTGGTTATTCAAGAGAGATAAATAAAATCTTGTGCATCTAAAGAAATCCCAACCAGATAATAGAAAAAGTTTTGGAAAACATTATTGGATATAGGAACAAAGTAAAAAGAAGGAATCGGTCACTTATGAATCACAGTAAAATATTCTAGGACAAAGTTACTATAATTCTAGGCCACAGACACAGATACTGTATACACCTGCCAAATTTTATAGCCAATAACCTTTGTGATTCAGAGGCCTAGGGAGGCAAATTTAAGATATATAAACAGATAATAGGGGATTTTGACTTTTTAGGGTTATTATTGAAAAATTATCAGATAAATACATTTTTCCACCAACACATTATTGTAGCAGCTAACTATTAATGAGAGGTTGAAGCATGTGCCAAGAATTGCTGTAAGCATCTTACATGCATTCACTCATCCAATTCTGCAAAAATCTATATAAGGATTTTTGCTATTATTATTGACATTTTACAGATGAATAAATTGAAGTCATACAGCCAGGAAGTAGTGGAAGAGTTAAACCCAGTCTTACTCCAGAGCCCTTAATTGTTAAGCACTTTGTCTATGATTCTTTGTTGTGCTTATATTTTGTAATTATCATATATTAGTGAATAGAACCAGAGTTGGTCAGCTTTGAACACATTTTGCAAAGCAGGGCTTTATTAGAGCTGAACTTTAATGGACTGCTCAGGGAAATCACATTTCCATTGGATTTCATATGTAGGCTCCAAAACTCATTGACGGCAACATTGTTTCTTGTGAGTAGTCAAAAAGTTTGTGCTCTGTACTGGTATTTTCCATTTTTAATAGTGATGGAAATCTAGTTAATTTTTCAGTTGTATACAGACTATTATCTCACCCAATGTCTTACTATTATAGAAGTTCTGACATCACTAAATAAACAGTTAAAACTTATTGATCTTATATGTTATGTAGTATTATCTTTAGCTATGTTCTCTCATATTCACTGAGAAGTTCTTGGTCAATTTATTCCAAGCTTATTGGTTCATTTTTCAGCATGAAGTGATTTAAACTCATAACAATACCTACTGAAATAAACATTTTTAGTTCTGCATAGTATTAAATGTCTTACTTTTGCTTGTTTAAATTTTCATCATAACCCACAAGTATTATGACCATCACTTATTATCACATTCCCTGAACCAATAAACATCATTCTTCTATTTCTCAATAGTTAATTCCAGTCACAAATCAATTTTAGAATGTTAGTTGTGGAGGCTCCCTAAAACCCATTTGGCTCAAATTCTCATTTTCAGAGATACCGGACAGTAAAAATTACTTGCTCAGGTTATAATAATAATTATTCTTATTGTAAATATAATAATAATACTAAAATTATAAGAAAACTAATAGTTGCTTGATTTTTAAACTTACAGAGCACCTTTACATACATTATTTCATTGATCTTCTTGAAGCTTCTGTGACTAGGTAGAACAAGTGTGGCTATTATAAAACCATCAGTGGGAAAAGACAAGTGTACAGAAGTTAGGTGATTTTTCTCATGCTCATAAAAACTACAAATAGAAGACAGGGATTCAAATTCAAAACTTCTGTTCCTCTTATCTTACACTAGCACACTGCTTTCCTTTATAAAATAATTATAAATACTTGCATATTCTCAAGGTGATAAAGAACATATAATGAATACCCATGCATTCAATACCCAATTTAAGAAAGAAAACATGATTGAAACAATTGATGGACTCAACATATTCCTCTACAATTTATTTATTCATTTATCTTTCAGTGGATATTTTGGTCTTACAACAATGTTGTGACAGCATTAATGTCCCTATATTTTTATTTGAACATATACAGAAGGAGTAGAAGTCCTTAGAGTTTGCATATTTCCAATTTTGTTTGGTACACTGTGTTGCCCTTATCTGGTGTGCATAAGATATTGTTGTTCTTTGTTGTCAGCAACACTTTCTCTGTGTGTGTGTGTGTGTGTGTGTGTGTGTGTGTGTGAGAGAGAGAGAGAGACAGAGAGAGAGAGACAGAGAGAGAGAGCAAGAGGTGGGATTTTATTTTAATTTGGCCAATTTTATGCAGGGGGGGAGTAAAGTGATTTTTTTCTTATGGTGCTTTTTATTTACATATTTCTGATTACTGATGAAGCTTAACATATTTTCAAATAAACACACACACACACCCCTTTTTAATTTCTTTCTTTCTTAAGGAATTGCCTGTACATAATCTTCACCTCTTTTTTTTGATGGCATGTTTTTTTATCTTATTGATTAATGGGAGTTCTTTACAAATTTAGGATAAAAATTATTTGCATATTATGCTTTAATTATATTTTCCCCAGTGTTTGACTTTTATGTTCACTTACATATTGCCTTTTTTTAAGAGTTGAAATTTTTTTAATGTCTAATTTTTTTATCTTTCTTTTTCTTGTTTTTAGCTACTTAAACCTTGTTTGATTAACATTTCCCTTCCCTGAGACAACAGAGCTGTTCTCTTACACATTATTTTATAAGTTTTAAAGGTTTTATTCTTAATAGATTTTGTAGATATATGGGAATACAAGTGTATTCTGTTACCTTACTAATATCAGTTATTAATTCTAATAGTTTTTCTTATAAAAAAGTTTTAAAGTTTTGACATGTATTTTTACTTTTAATGAGCCTTGAAATGGATTTTTTTGTGTGTATCCTGTAGGTATGAATCCAATTTAGTTTATTACATGAATAAGTGTCCCAGCACCATTGACTGAATAGCATACCCTTTTCTACAGATTTGGTTTCCTTTATCACATAACTGATATGTTATATCACTACAAGGTGAGCTTATTCAACTTAATTTATTTCAATCAATGATATAACTGTATTTATTTCTACCTGCATATTTTGTGATTTCTATTTCTTTCTTTAAGTTTGTTTTAATGTTCCTCTTTTCTTTCTTTGTTACAAGTAAAACATGGTTTTTTAAATAGTTACTGAAAATTTAACATGTTTTCTTAACCAATCTAAAATAAATTAATATCTCCACCTTTCTTCAGAACAACCCCCCAATATGTAATGCTCTACACTTCATTAATTTCACAGTTTTTGCATTTGAATGATTATAAATATTACTACTCAGAGTGGTAGCAGAGTAACTGAAACCCGGGTGATAAGTGGCACTGTTGAAGCCAGAACCACCCCCCTACCCCCAAAAAACCCCACAAAATCCTGCTTTCCTGACTTCTTTTTGAAGCTCTTCATGAGTAAAATGTGACCGGATACGTTTGATGTAACATTCCTGTATTCGCCCTTCAAAGTAAAAAAAATGTCATTTCAAAGTGGAGGAATTTATTTTATATATGTATTTTAAAAGACTATAAGAGTACACCACACACAAAAATAGACACAAAATGGTTGAAAGACCTAAATGTGAGACAGGAGTCCATCAAAATCCTAAAGGAGAACAGGCAACAACCTCTTGGATCTCAGCTGCAGCAACTCCTTCCTAGAAACATTGCCAAAGGCAAGGGAAGCAAGGGCAAAAATGAACCATTGGGACTTCATCAAGATAAAAAGCTTTTGCACAGCAAAAGAAACAGTCAACAAAACCAAAAGACAATCGACAGAATGGGAG